GGATAAAAGATAGACAAATGAGACTGTTAAATAAGTTCTCGCATTTCCCCATCCCTGCACACGTACACATTTCTAAACATTGTGGGTGAATTCATGTCTGTTTATTATTAGAAGATAGTTTCTTCCCTCCATATATGGCTGTTCCTTATATTCTCTGGATGCCCCCATGGCTCTGATTTCTTTGTCTGAAATGTGGTTAAGCTATTGCAGGTCTGTCTGAGTTGATTTACTGGACTGGCTCCTACAGTACTTTCTTTTGACTCATAAAATCCATAAACTACTCTTTTAGGAACATAGAGTTTCCCATATCTATAGAAAGGGGAAATAAAACTCATGTTTACACTCAGAAATCCCTCATAATCTTCCTAGACATCTTACTTGCTCATGCCTATTGAAATCCAAGCTCTTTTTTCATGATTAGGAAAGTAACCAGACAACATTCTGCTTTATTTATTAGGAAAGGAAAAGCACAGAAAAATCTCAACAGGGAAACAATGAATACTTGCTAAAAGGAAACTGGTCCCCTACATCAGGCAGAATGAGACAACCATGATCGTTTCAGCTAGCAGATGCTGGGCAATAGTGAAGGCATCTCATGTGCAATTTCTCCTAAACTGTCTCTTCTTTGGACTACAATTGTCTTTCTAATCTCCTTAGATGACCAAGAGACTGAAGGGTCAGTCCAGTCCAGAGGTGATATTCAGCAGGTTCTGACCAGTTCTGGAGAACCGGTAGCAGAAATTTTGAGTAGTTCAGAGAACCAGTAAATACCACCTCTGACTGGAGATTTTACTATATCCTTCCCCTGCCACGCCCACCAAGCCATGCCCACAGAACGGGTAGTAAAAAAAATTGAATTTCACCACTGGACCAGTCCATTTCTGTATTTGGAATAAGTATCTATTTCCCTCTCAGAAAATGTGAGCCACTTCTGGTTTTTGAAGACTTAATGAAGACTTTAACCAGACATCAAATAAATAAAACAGGATGGGGAGAGATATGGATATTTACAATAAATAATTAGCAATTACATAGGGTTAGAGTCCACTTATTGAGGCTCCAATTAAACAGACCTCCTGACCGTGGTATCATTTACTCAGCCTTTGCCCAGGCAGGAAAAAAAATCTTGTGTTTGCCGTAAATATATGATTCAACAAGATGGGGATTTTTGAAGAATATTCTTGTATAATTCTGTTCTGTCTCTAAGAAACAAAATATCAACAGTTGTAGAAGAGAAGGGAAGTAAATCTTCTGCATGAGCTGCGTTGATTACTGGTATGTGTCTGGGTTCAGTTTCCACCTGGTGAATTGAACCCTGGTGGTTACCTTTAAAGCCTTACATGGCTTGGGATCAGGGTACCTGAGGGATCACCATTTTCCAAGAGTTTCTACCTGTCCAACTAGATCAAGCAAAATGGGCATGCTGCATGTGCCATCAGCCAAAGAGTGTCAGATGGTGGGGATCAGAAGAGCATACAACAGATATAAACTAAATGTAAACCACTCCAAACTCAATTGCAGGAAGTACGATTTCAGCAACAAAGTGGTCAATGCCTGGAACTCACTACCTGATTCTGTTGTCACCTGCACAAACCCCCATTCCTTTACCCTCAAACTAACCTCTATTGACCTCATCCCATTCCTAAGTAAGGAGCGTGCTTAAGGGCACCATCGTGCCTACCGTCCCTGTCCTATTGTCCCAATTATTAGTTCCTATTTCTTGTATTTAAACTTGTGTTTATTCTTGTTTCTGTTGTATTGTAAGCTTTTGACAAATTAAAAAAATAAAAAATAAATAAAAAACTTTTCCTGAAATGGGACCTGCTTCCATGGAGATCTTCCCTTTGATTAGAATTGATTAGATTTGATTTTTAACCTCTAAAAAACCTGGCTATGTTCACGAAGAGAGTACTACACTCCTCTGCTCGCAACAGAATACCATATATCACCAGGCTTGAGATTTTGGGCTTGGACAACCTTGAACTACGCTGCCTATGGTTAGACTTAAGCGTAGCACACAAAATTATCTGCTACAATGTCCTACCAGTCAATGACTACTTCAGCTTCAACCACAACAATACAAGAGCACACAACAGATACAAACTCAATGTAAACCTCTTCAAACTTGATTGCAGAAAGTACGACTTCAGTAACAGAGTGGTCAATGCCTGGAATGCACTACCTGACTCTGTTGTTACATCCTCTAACCCCCACCCCTTTAACCTCAAACTAACCACTATTGACCTCACCCCATTCCTAAGAGGTCTGTAAGGGGCGTGCATAAGTGCATCATCGTGCCTACCGTCCCTATCCTATTGTCCCCATTTATTCGTACTTATTTCCTGTATTCTTACTCATGTTTATACTTATATCTGTTATCTTGTAAGTGATTGACAAATCAAATAAATAAATAAAATAAATGTTTCCAGCCTGGAGCACTGAATGTGTCAAAGGCTCTGTTTCCTGACTATAGTGTTAATTGACCCTATGTTTATTTAATTTGGATATTTTAAAATGTTTTTAATTTGTTTTACTGTTTCTTTTGCTTTAAATGTTTTTAATTTTTTAATTGTGTTGTATTTTTTAAATTGTAAGCTGCCCAGTAATTGACTGAGATGGTTGGCTATAAAAAACAAACAAATAGATAAGAAAGACATGATAGTCACATTACCTACTAGTATAATAGCAATTCTGTGAAAATGTTTAAAGGTATAAAGGTGACTATTATGGAGTGGTTCTCTCTCCTTTACTTGAATATGTGCAGTAGAATAGAAATAATCTTCTTTGGATATGTGTCAGTCTAGGGAGTCTTCCATGATGTCAGTCATTCTTTAGCATTGTCAGTGTGATTCTGAATTGCTCCACCTTGCTTAAACATTCATATGTTTTCCGATAGGTACAGGTAGATAAATGTATAGAAGCCCTAATGCTGGCAGAGAGAAAGGAAAGAACCTCTTGGCATTTTTCAACTTCTCCCTTCAAAGCTGTAATTTTAAATTCATTTTTGTGGGGGGAGAGGGGGAAATACACATGTTCTGCAGTTGAGTTCCGAAAAAAACCCACTATGCTAGTGAAACATTTTATCAGCTCATCTGCTCTGTGTGTCTCTCTGGACAAAAAGATTCTATGGTACTTTGAAGACAGCCTCAGATCTTTGTGACTCTATGATATCAATGTGTTTGGGGCTGAACTGATTTAATTCAGTTCAATTGCCATGTAGTTTGAAACTGGAAGGAACTAGTTCTTTGCTCTTTGTTTTTTAAAAGATGCTAAGGCTTAATTTTTCCATTGAAGGGAGTGTTTGGCTCAACCCTCCTTCTGATTTTTCATGACCCTCTGGTCCTGAAAAACAAATGCTGACTTGATTACTTTGCAACTTTCCTTTAGTAGCTTAGCCAAAACTAAGAAGAGTTCTTCTCTTCTCTTCTCTTCAGCAGACTGTCGGGACTTATTTTTTTCCTGTTTTATATATAATGTGTCTGTATTTGTATAACTTTTGTTGCTACAAATCAAGCAAGAATTTTTATTCTCTATTCTAAGTGTGCAATTTTGAGTGTGTAAAAATAAAGGTAACCAGGAAGTGGTTCTGACCAAAATGAAGGTTAAAACTGCCTTCAGATAGCTTTTGAGGGTTGGCAGTGTGGAAGTATCTTTAATACATGGTGAATATCTAAAAGGAGATGAACAGAGAAGGGTAAAAGCTCTAGATGAATTTTGAGAATGTTCAGGGTCTAAGTGTTTCCCTTGCTATCGTTTTGGCTTTTTAGATATGAATTACACCTGGAGTTGTCAACATTCATGCATCATTCTTTTTTGTGTTTAGGAGTTCACAAAAATTAGAGCATCAGTTTCCCATTTTCAAAAGTTCTTACAAAGAGGGGCATTTTCAGCAAACTATGAGACACCACAATCATGTCTGACTCAGGTTCATAATGTCTGACAGAATTAGACCACTGCAACATGCTCTGCCTTAAAGATACCTTTAAAGATGCTTTCCCAGAAGCCTCAATTGATGCAAAATAGTGGCCCAGCTGCTGACAGAAATTTGTTGGGAACATATTACACCAGATTTATAGGCCAGGCATTATTATATTAACTTCTGAGTGCAATTTCAAGTACTGATTTTAGCCTTTAAAGTACATTATGGCTTGGTTTCTGACTATTACTACAGGACCTCATCTCCCCACTTGTGTCTGCTTGAAGAAGCAGTTGGTTGTCCTTCATTTTCATTTAGTTGTGGGTGGGGTGTGTGTGAAGCCTGGACATGGTGTGTTTTCGTGATGGGACCATTGCTCTGGAAATACCTCCTGTTGGAGACCCGCTTGTCTCTGACATTTTCTACCATCTAGAAGCTGAAGGGTTTTTGGAGTCAGATGCCACCTGTTTTCCTTGGGTTTTCTTCATCTTATTTTTTTACATTTATTATATTTTATACAGTACCCTGATAGTCATCAAGAGTCTTGCGATTGTGATGGCATACAAATTTATAATAAACTCCTTAAGGCAGGGGTCCCCAACCACCGGTCCGCGGACCGGTACCGGTCCGCGGAACAAGTCCTACCGGGCCGCTGGCTTGCTGGCGCCGCCATCTTTTTTTTGATGAAAAAGTGCTTCCGGTGAGCTTTTCCGGGTAGAAAGCTCACCGGAAGCATGTTTTCATCAAAAAAAGATGGCGGCGCCAGCGCTTCCGGTGAGCTTTTCCGGGTAGAAAGCTCACCGGAAGCACGTTTTCATCAAAAAAAGATGGCGGCGCCCAGCTGATGCTGGTACCGGGCCGCGGCGCCCAGCTGATGCCGGTACCGGGCCGCGGCGTAAAAAAGGTTGGGGATCACTGCCTTAAGGTGTGACATCTACATGATGACAGCATCATGCAATCTCTCCAGCCCAGTTCCTGCCTGTAACATAGAATCAACATTCTACCTTTATAAGAAAGAATGAGAAATAAATGTAGAATTGTTTGTTCTTATACAATGGAATGAGTAACATTGACAGGACTTCAGGAGCAAGGGCCATGTTACACATTTATCAGGCTAGGAAACCATTTTGTCAGAGGTCTTCAGGGCAACACAAAAAGGGTTTGAATTCCCCCTTCAATAAAGAATAAAATGTACATTTTAATTCATGTAATGCTTAATTCTACACTGAATGTTAATAGGAAATAACTGATCTTAAGATTCAAGGGACACAGTTTTCCACATGGCTTAGCAAAAAACTATCAGGTTAACTGTTCCCTTTCCATAAAAGATTTCTTCCTTAAAAGGGAAGATTCTATATAAAATTTGCCTGACCCCGTAATTATTTACTTCTACTGCTAAGCATTATAATTATAAAACAAAATAGTAGACTGTGTGATATCAATCAATAGGACAGCCAATCTGTAAACTTTTTAAAATCATGTTTTATCTATTCTGTAAAAGTTTTTTTTCTTGTAAATTGAAGTGAGTATTAAAACAGAATAACTGAGCAAGATGCTCCTAGTCTCACAGGAATATCTTCTGATATTAGAATGACATTATCCAGCAGAGATTGAGTTTATTACAAATCAAGGTCCCTAGTACATATGGTGAAAGCTCTTCAAGCTGATCACCAATGATATTTCTGCAGTGCCTGGAACACAAAATAAGACATTCAGCTGGGTTCAAGTTGGACTGATTTGGATCCATTTGTCATTCTTTCCAGTGGTTCTAAATGGCCTCACCCTTCCTTCCTTCCTTCCTTCCTTCCTTCCTTCCTTCCTTCCTTCCTTCCTTCCTTCCTTCCTTCCTTCCTCCTTTGCTACTGAGCAAAAGAGGCCTAACTAGGTTGAAATTTTGACCACCATGGATGTATTAGCAATGCAATAAAATGCAGTTGATGATTATTCCTAACCTGATGAGAGGAATGCAGTTCACATATTATGCTCTTAGGGTTTTTGAAGGAAAAGTAGAGTATAAATGTGTAAACATCCAAATAGATCCCAGAGTCTCATTGTTTCCTTAGATTGTATGACATTGGCAGATATTTTACATAATAAGCCTGTAAAATATTAACATAAAGCAATAGTTTCATGGAAAAACCCAGCATTCATGGCAATATAATTCCACAAGACATGTCATAAATTCTTGTTTAAAAACGAACGGCCTTGTAATAATGCATATACCAGCTTTTCTTAAAGACAACCTTAGACACTGATAACTCAAGGCTAGATAACCCACAGAAGGGTCATTTGTTTCTCTTTACACAGCATTTTGTTTGCTTTACAACAGTGTAACAATGTTCACTGGGGTAGTAGGGGAGAGAGGAGGTTGGTGGACCTTATACATTAGATGTACAAAATTTGCTCCATTCTCTAACAGGGAAGCATAAATCAGATTACTACATTTTATGTAAGCATAATGAATTTTGCAAATATTGAATTCATTATGACAGAATAATTGTTATTCTTTAAATATGCATCAGTCTCAGTGGCTAAAAATACCTAGCTAGATGTAGAGTGTTGCCTAGACCAGGGCTCCAGAATATTTGACCAAGCCAAATATTCATGCAGGAGTTCCCAGGTGTTTGACAACTTCTTTTCATATAGACAGCAAATCCAGGAAGATTTTGAAAGTGGTAGGGCTTCCAGATGTGGCCTGTAAAATCCCAGTGGTTTCTGATGGCAGCAAAGAGAATATTGAAAACCCTAACTTTTTGCTGCCAGCTAGATGTCATCTTAATAATGATGGACGAAGCCTAGAAGCTCTAAAACAATGTATGTCAACCTTGGCAACTTTAAGTTGTGTGGACTTCAACTTTGACAATTCCCAGCTGGTATGGGAATTGAAGTCCACACATCTTAATCTTGTCAAAGTTGAGAAACACTGCTCCAGAGCTCCTGTAGAGCAGAAGAGCAACAGCCCCTGTAGAGGTCTGCAGGAAGGCTAGATTTTACAATACAGCTTTGACTATCCTTCCCATTTCTAATACCGAAGCTTGCAGCAAGAATTAAAAATAAATGCCACAGAGTGTTATTCACAGTGCCCAAATTAAAGGGGTAGGAAAATTGAAAATGACAATTCCTTGTTCGCTTGAGGCAACTTCTTAGATGTGGTCTCACTCATCCAAATAGTGCTCCTCCTAGCCATAAAATGGGACTTCATCTTCCCTTAGAATTTGCTGCAGGAATAGTAGATGAATCGGGAGAAACACCCTCAGAGAAACTGGGCCACAGGTGAAGTTAGCTCTGCAAATAAAATATAATGGGTTATGACTTCTAAAGAGTAAATAGCACTTTACTTATATGACTGAATGTTTATGGACTCTGTTGGTGATCGCCAAACAAGACTTCTTGTTGAAAGTTGACTTCATGCAGTTTAACATGGCCATCCCAGGGCAGAAATACTTAATGAATACTTAAATACTGCTTAGTACCAGCTACACCTAGTAAATGTATCCCTAAGGGTATTCTTGCTACTCAAAGATTTTCCCCAAATTGGACAAATCAGTCCATTTTCTCTTCCTTGATGTCAATTTCACAGATGTTCATTTATAAATCCACTCCCCCATATGATGAGGACTGTTTCAGTGCACAATAGCAAGTATATCTCTATGTTATGCATATCCTTTCTTCTCAAAATGTGCATATTTTAAGTGTATGCTTTTAATGTGCAATTTGGTTGGCATGTTTTGTGAAATCCTCCCACCAAAGAAGTCCTGGAAAAAAAATGAAAATCAAAGAATATTACAAGCCCAAAGCAGCATATTACTGTTGCATCATGTTCCACCCTCATTAATCCTGGAGCTCATGCTAGAGCAGCTCATGCTAGAGCATTTTGATGTGCAAATCAGTTGAAATTCCTGCACATTCCCAGACAACAAGCGATTAAGCATCTTTGGGTAATATGTGAAATGAAGCCACAATCCAGATGCAAGATCTGATCTACTTAAATGAGAAGAGGCACAGGGAAAATGTGTTCCTATGGGCATTTACATTACATTCTTCAGTTACTGGATACAACGTTTAAGCTATGAATCAGTCAGATACCATGGATAATGTTTTATGAAAGTACTCATGAGGCCTTCTCTCCTTATGATAAGCAATGGTTGCCTGAAATCATCTGGTAAATGACACTGTTTATTTGCAGATGATGATCAATGCCTTCTCAAGGAGATGGCCCCTATTGTTAGATGGCATCAGGATGAGTCAAGGTATGGTGGCTGAGATAGCGACGACTGGCTGGCGCTATTCTCAGGCAGGCAGGCAGACACACATTCAACAAAACCACATTGCACAGGTTGAGTTGCCTTTTCTTTCTTCATCAAGCTCAAGTTATGCCAGGGTGCGTGGGTTGTACCCACAAAACAAATAAACCAACTGAAATACCTGAGAACTGTTTATTTTAGCAGATGCCTCCTGGGAGCCTCATCCAGAAGGCAGTCCGTGGTGAGTGAAAACAGATGAAACCAGGCCTCGGGAAGGAAAGGTCAGGGCATTCTGATCTTACTGTAAGTGATGTAATTCTTTTACTGTAACTTTCCAAAACTACCTCAGCCCGATTGTTTCAGTATGTCTCAGAACATCTCAGGAAGTCAGGATGTGCATGCAAAGGGAAAGGGCAGACTGGCAGGATAAATGATGAATTGTCTAATCCAGGAATGGGGCTCTGATGCAGTAAGGGATCCTACCTTAGTTGCTACCATTTTGGTGCGTGATTGCGCATGCGCACACGTACCCCTAACGTATGCACCCCTAATGTGTGCACCCCTAACAAGCCTATCAGCTGGGAGGATGAAGAAACAAAAAGCTAGGAGCGACCCTCCCATGTGCTTTTTTGTCTTTTATTCTCTCAGCTGATTGTCAGGGGCTGATGCTCCTCTAATTGTCACTCCAAGTTGCCTCAGCCACCATGGTTCACAGTAACAGATCCTGAGAGCTGCAGTTCAACAATACTTTCTTTTGATATGGACACCTTACATAGAATAGAATAGGATAGGATAGGATAGGATAGAATAGAATAGAATAGAATAGAATAGAATAGAATAGAATAGAATAGAATAGAATAGAATAGAATAGAATTCTTTATTGGCCAAGTGTGATTGGGCACACAAGGAATTCATCTTGGTGCAAATGCTCTCAGTATACATAAAAGAAAAAAAATATTGGTAGTTTTAATGTATTATCTTCTTCTTTATTTGTGTAAGCAGAAATAGAAAACCAAGTTATCTTGAAGGGGGACGACAGCTGGACCACAACTTGATGTGAACTTGATCTAATTTTCTGAAAGGTAGTTTTGTCACTGTTTTCCATACTAGTTGCAATATCTTGAAGCACTTGGAAATCTTTGAGAATTATTTTTGAGATAATTGTGACAGAGTTGACCTTTGAAAACATTCCCTTACCACAGGGGTGTCAAACTTGTTTGTCATGGCATCGTCACATGACATATTGGGACTTCCTCCCACTTTACTAAACTGGGTGGGACGGGGTCAGCACATGACTCATCTGGCCCACGGGCTGTGAATTTGACACCCCTGCCTTACCGTAATACCACTTACTGAGATATTCTTTTAACATTCCAATAAACCTTCATAATTTTTTTTTTCATTTTGATAACCAGTATTTCAAAGAGCTATGAAATATGATTTGTGTACTTTCTATCCCTTGTTTGCTACTGTAGTCCACTTCTGAGGCTTGAATTAAGCTACATATCTAGTTATGCCTCAATTTGCTTTAACATTGATTTTGGAAAGCGTGTTATGTTCCACTTTCAGTACTATCAGCCTATGAAATGGAACAGGGCAGAATAAAACAGAACACCTTTCTAAGCAGATATGAGGGTGATAGAGCTGCTGCCATTTTCAGGAGTCAGCACATTTCCCTCTAATGAAGAGAAAAATGGAATAGGAGAATGAAAAGTACTTTTCTTAACTATAAGCAAGAACTAAATCCTTATAACTATTTTAAATATTTCTTATCAGAAAGTCAGACTGAACTATGTCTGGATTTTTAACTACATTTTATCTTCTTTGGTGCTGTCAGATTGAAGAGCTTAT